CAAAAGTCAATCACTGCACTGGGTGACCTTGTTACTTGGTTGTATTTTACTAAGAAGGCTACAACCCTGTAACAATACTTGCATTTGAACTTTCACTAATACTTGCACTTGAACTTTCACTAATACTTGCGCTTGAACTTTCGTTAACACTTGCACTTGAACTTTCACCATAGTTTTCAAACTCATCTTGTGTATATATGTAGTTGCGTAAATTTGTACATTGACCAAGTTTATCATAGTCAAAAATTAAATAATCTTTTTTACCATCTTGTGAGTTAGATATGCCACAAACTTTAAAGGCTTTTTGTATAAAATTGAAATCAACATTGTGCCAGGCTTCAAGTATCCATTGAGCAATTAAGCTATATGATGGGCATTGGATACGACCTGTCTTAGTATAATTTACAACTCCATTTCTAAGCCATTCATTATAGTAATGCCACATCTAATAATAAAAAATTATTAATATGAGTATTATTAAGTTAAAAAAAAAAGAAAAAAAATGAAATAAAAAAAAAACAAAAAAACAAAAAAAAATAAATTAAAACCTGAAATTAAATATATACAGTAATATAGTATATAAATATATTCAGTTTCAAGTTTTAATTTATATAACAAATAAATAAATTACCTTGGACTTAAAAGATTTATTGATCACTACATCTAATGGTTATAATTTTGGATTAAACCTCCTGGAATTATAGCTAAGTTAGTATTTTTTTCATAAAAATGACATTTAACAGAACCCATGTCCTGTAAATGAATCTAAAACTAAAAGTGAACATGGATTGGTCTTTTCTCTAAGATTTCATATATTTTCAATTCACCATAACATCTCATTTTCATTCATTCAACCACTAGAATTTGCACAAATAAACACTCTAGCAGGAAATGATTGTCTTGGAACATTCATTAGTTTAAAAATAATAACAGGTGAAAGTTTAGTTCTATCAGCCAAACAAGTAAGTAAAAGAGTGAAATTTGATTTTTATGACCAGAAGTCCTTATTGAAACTGTATGTGTACCACGATCATCAACTATTACATTACTAGAAAAATTGAATGATAAAAGAATCTTATCCATATTATCTATTAGGGTAAGTAGATAATCGAATTAAATTCTACGATATAAAACTAGACTCAAAAATTTCTGTTACACAGTTTGTAAATCCTCTGGAAGTCTTTGGGCTGCAGTTGTTTGACATCTATTGTTTAAATTGTGACAAGTCAAAAGCCATCGATTTATTTATCTAAAAATTTATTTTAAGTATTATTAGAATATAAAGTAATATAAGGTTATTTTTTTGACAGTGCTTTTGCTTTAAGTTGGATCATTGATCATGTTACAGATTTTAGCTTGCTTCGTAAATCTTTTACCCAATTATAAACTTCTTTTTCAAGTTCAGGATATTTTGGTGGTTTTCCATGATTTAGCTTTCTAATATAAGGTGAAACACGCATTAATTTTTTTTTTACTTTGCCAATCTCTAACTTGTCTTAGTTCTATATTAAAGTTTGTTGCAGTTGCACAAATACTGTTACTAGTATGCTTTTCAAGAAAAGTAATAACTGCAAGCTTTTTACAGACATTCTAATGTCATATTTTCTTTTCAGTAATTTGAGCTTGATCACAATTTTTATTTCCATGTATCATGGTGCAATGAAAAAATTAGGGATTGAAACCACCTAAAATTTTTCTTAATTGTTTAATCGTTTAACCATTTAACCGTTTAATTTGGCCGGCATTAAAATAATTCCAGCTCACGACCAACATAATTCCGCCGGAACTATGGAGTAATTTTTAAATGGTTAAACAGATCCAATCCCTAGAAAAAAAAAAAAAATAAAAATCTTATTTATTATAATTTAATGTTGGCATTAGTGTTAATATAATTTTTATTTCTTTAAAAGTAAACATTGCATATCATATGTATTATAATATCATAACTATTTAAAGTATATATTTAATACTATAAAGTACACCCCTTATAAAGTATCCCCCTTACAAAGTACCTCCCATACAATATACCTCATTTCCATAATTAGTACTCGGGTGGGTACTATTTAAGAAATTCAATGATTTATTAAATAGTACCTGGGTACTTTGTCAGTAGCATATAGTATTAATATCCATTTTTTAATAGTTCTGTTTAATAAAGTGCGTCACTACACATAAATAATTTATGATGGGTTGCATTAATAATTTAAAGATGGGTTAGATAGTGGGAAGATGGGTTAGACATAAGACTGTCATAAATCTGGAGTATAAAAAAAATTTTTGGAGTTTAATTTGATCGATTGATAATGAATTTGGTGACTATTATTTTAAGTTTGGTAACTATTATTTCAGATTTAGTGACCAAATATTTGCTTAATTCTGCTAATGTACTGTAATAGATTTTTCATTATTATACGTATTAACATACATATGTAGCTAAAATTTTTATTATACAAACTGTGAGACACTTGTATTTGTGACCCATTTACATACAAATTATGTATATGCCTTATAAAGTAAAAATACTGGTTATACGTATGTATATAAAATTTGGTTTAATAAAATATTTAAAAGTGAATTAAAAATAAAATAAAAGCTGCTGACCCAGAGGTCAGCTGTGTAATAGTCATACAAGATGCAGTATATGTATGATTTTATTATTTAATGTTATCTACAATATAGTCAATGCTTTTCCAACTTAATTTTGAAATAGTTAGAGCCAAATAAGATTTAACATATTTTATTTTATCAATACTGATTTCAATGAAAAGTTTATATATTTTTTTAGCTCTTTCTGTTTGTTTCCAATGTGTAGTATTTTAATCTCTTTAGATAGTTAGTCTTTTACTTCTTTATCTACTTTACTTTGAGCCTTATGATTTTGATATTTTTTTTATTTTTATAATAATTCAAGCGATTAGATAACTTTTTACCAAATTGAAAGTAATAGTTTAAAAGCTTTTAACTTGTAATAATATTATCAGCTTTAGCTTTAACTATTTCTTTGTAAAGATAAGTATAACTATCTTCAGATAACTAAGAGGGAATATTAAATCTTTATTAATACTATCATCTTTTAATTTTTTGATAAGTTTTTTTGCTATAAAAAATTCACCCTACTTAGTAGTTGACTTCTGTCTTTTATCAGATTTATCTGGTAATTCTATAATATATTTTTTTTGTATTCTACTTTCATAAAGTAGAGGGTCTTTCTGCCTAATAATAGTAATATAGCTATTGGGAAACCTAATCCAAGATTATCGCCTAACATATCTGCAAGAGCAGAAGTTCCACTAGACTGAGATGATGATTTAGAAAATTTTCGTTTGGATACTACTAGATCATTGATTTTATTACAATCAGATAAAGAGCATTTGTTTTCAGTTGTAGGTAAAAATTTTTTTCTATACATTTTCTATGATATATATGTCTACATAAAAGTATTGTAAATGATTCAAAATTAACAGATAATATTTTGTTTCATATAGTATACATAGTAGCAATTCTGTAACAATAATATCTTGTATTATGTTATATTTTGTTTTTTTAAAAATATTAAAAGCAAAGTTTTGGAGACTAGTAAGAGATATAATTTTTTTTTTTTTTATACCTTCACAATGTCACAGAAGAGTGGATTTTTATTAGGTATTTTAGTAGTATATTCTTGGTTAGCAAGAGTATATATAGCTACATGCAACTTTTGGTTGCCTAATTTAAGTAGTCTATCTGAAGATTCTACACTATATATCATATGTGGGGAGTCAGTAGAAATGGGACAAATCATTTTTAGTGAATTTTTTTTAATTTTTAAATTACAATTTCTTGACAACTA